ACTGATTGTTGGTTTTCATTTACTATACATACCTAATAAAATATTTTCGAAGTCGGTGTGCTTTGGTTAAGTAATTAAAACCTGCTTATTAAATACATACCTAATCAAATATTTTCGAAATCGGTGCCAGCCCATACAAAGCAAAGCACACCGACTTCGAAAATATTTGATTAGGTATGTATAGTAAATGAAAACTACCAATCAGTTATTTTTTACTTTTTAGTGCTTTTGTTTGAAGTCGGTTTTTATTTTAATAATATATAATTTTTAGAAGTAGATTCTGCGTATTATAATGTATTTCAGACAGTCAAATTAAACACAAATCTTTAAGGACTGTTAAGGATTTACGCATGCTATGAATACGATATACGAGTATGTATGTATTATGTACAAGTAGGTAACTTACCTTACCGACGTAAACAGCAAGCATAGTAAAATCTTACTTTTATTATTATTAGTTTTTAATTTAATGACTTTAAAAGTAATTATTAAAACCCTCGGGGTAGTAATATCAAAATTTTTATGGGCTGATATGCTTAAAGTAAAACCTGTTAAGTGTTCATTAAAAAGTAAAAAAAACCGACTTCAAAAAAAAAAACTAAAAAGTAAAAAAAAAACTGATTGGTAGTTTTCATTTACTACAGATACGTAATCAAATATTTTCGAACATAACAAAACACACCACGTTTAGTGTTTTTTTTATGAAATCGGTTTTTTTAGGTTTTAATTTTTCTCTTTTTAGTGTAGACTATAAACTATGTTTAGTAGCAAAGTCAGAAGAAAGTATTTTAATAAAATATTCGTTTAAGCCGTTTAAGTTTGTTTGATGCCAGTTTTTATATGAAAACTGACAGACTAGCTTCGCTTTTATTAGTAGCACTAAAAAATCTGGCTCTAAAAACCCAAATTTTAAGTCTACTATTAGCCGTAGAAGAGTTCCACCTATCCACCTTCTTTCTGGCCTTACCATTAGATTAGGTCGACGACACCGAACCACTGCTCTATCAACGGAAATGGAAACACAAGCAAAGTTTTAAGGCAATATGACAATTAGAAGTAGGCTAAATTTTCACTAGCTATTTTTCCACCCTAAGGTGTGGTATTTTGTTTTTCAAATTAAAATGGGACCAATTTGAAAGTATACACTCTCAAACAAAATAAAATTTGTCCAAAGCGGTTTATAAATGACCCATAAAGTTCCCAGGTAAGAAACATAAAAAATACAGCCGAAATGAGAACCTCCTCCTTTTTGAAGAAGTCGGTTGAAAAAAGGATTATTGACAGTAAAAAAATTCTTTCGGACCCTTTTAGTAGTCTATTAAAAAGGTATAACTTATTTTTTTCTATACTATTTTACACGCCCTTATTGTATTCTTCTTTATTTAAATAAATGTTATTGTAGTATATATGCTTATTAGTTTAAAATAAGACATGTTTATTTTATATATGCACGTATTTGAAACATTACACTGTCTTTTTTTTAGTTTACCACAGCAAAAGTTGAATAGTTGTGGTAAAACTTGATAGTTTTCTTTTCCACCTTTTAATTTTAGAAATTTTGATGTCAGATAAAATATCTTGGTATATGAATAACTTAATAAAGCTCTTAAAGAATATTATTTTACCATAAAATTCATGAAAATGGAGATATGATTTGTGTTGTTCATATCGGTATGCAGAAACCTTAAAAGATAATGTAAACTTTCAAACTTCAATTTGTAATATCGGTATAAAGCGCGGCAATCGCATGGCCAATATGGGAGATACCATGCAGACAATAACCACAAATTACTACTCTAAGACAGTCTCGAGCTTCAAGTAAGCATATAAACCTGTATTTGATGTCGAATATAGCTCGTTTATCACATTTTCCCCGCTGTCTGCATTTTCTTTATCTTCATAAGTGTGTAAGTTCAGGTTACAGCAATACTATAAGTATCTTAGACAGTAGTTGTGCTCAAATGCCCAGAACTAATATTTCTTAATCTATCACAAATATTATTTAAGTGGTTAAGGATTAAGTAGTCAATAGTTAGCAAATAAATAATTCTGTTGCTTCTATTAAAAATATATACCTAAGGTTATATTTAGATTATGTAAACATTATCAATGTCAATGCTGAAGAGATTTTTTTTTTGTGGTTGAAAAATTATTTTGCCATTTTTAATTAATTACACTAGGAGTGTTAGAAAAATTTTGATTAAATAAACTGCGTAGATAGAGCTGCGGTCCAAAGTCAGTTATATTAAGAAATGTTGATAGTAAGTGCCATTTATCTTAATGTTTCTATTGTTTACGTTCAATCTGCTACTAAGTTAGGATAAATGAATATAATATTATGGACTACAGTTAATTTACATTGCAATGTATTATAATGCTTATGCTATATATGTAGAACAGTTCGGTGTTAATGTTTACCTACATGAGTGTATATATAATGTATGTATATTATATACGTGGGTATAAATTGTACCAAGATGGCAACTTTAAATTTAGGCTTCCAATTATGTTGAATCGTAGATATTTGTATGATAAACATTAAAAATATGCTCGTTAAACTGAAGAAGCTGAGATAAAAACAAAACTTACATGCCTTTTTTAACAGGAAATAATATGTTTTTTTTTATTCTTTTATACAATAGTTTACGTAATTATATAATTATAAAAAATATATCCAACTCCAAAAAATTAAAATGTAGTATAAAAAAATCATTATAAATATCATACTGCTACGTATACTTTAAACGCTCGCCATTTCGAGCTTTTCGTGACGTCACAGTATGATATTCACAGAAAAATGACGTCTCAATTTTTAGGCGACAAAATCGCTAATCGCTCTGTTGTGATATACTCTGACGTCATATTCGGTCTGACCAATGGCGTTCATTCCAACTACTTTGAAGTTTGAATTTTTGTCATCTATATTTGTACTTTTTAATAATTATTTTCTTAATAAAAAAAATTACTTAATTTTTTTTTAATATAGGCTTAATATAGAAGCAATAAAGGCGAGAAAAAAAAATACCTTTAAATCACACGCATATTCCCTACTGTCTCGTCCTTCTTAATTTTTTTAATTTACATATTACATTTGATGAAAGAAACACTAGTTTTAAATAAAATAAAACTATCTTTTGGATTTTCTCGCGGATTTATTTGGATTTTTGGTTCCCGACGTTCCGAATGCTTTACAGCAATCATGGTCACGAGACTGAGGTGTTAGATGTCTCAAAGTTATAATTGTTACTGTCGTATTAGTTTATTTTATAATTTTATAAGACATATACAAACTTTATGATGTTACTATAAATTATATGAAACATAAAATAATGACATTAGAAGAGGAATTCTCAAGCTAAAAAATATAAAATAAACTAATACAACAGTTACAGACAGCCTACCCACAAATAACAGAATTTACTCCTTCAGATCTTACTGTGTGGATCAAAATGACAGCATATCAGATTAATATTTTTCATTTTTCTTTTGTAAAAGTATATAGTAATTAGTGTTGCTTAGTAATTTGTCTGTTTAAATAATAGCAAACTAAATTTAAATTATTATCCTTAATTAATTTTAACTTTTTAAATTACGCGTAGAACAATTATATGGCTTAAATAATTAATACTATATTTTATATTTTTCTTTATGGTTATAAATATAATAATGGCAACACTAAATATAGATTCCTAATTAATATTTTTAAAATTGTAATAACTATAATAATAGCAGCAAAAAATAAATAAATAATATTCCATATTCAATTATAAAAGTAAGTAAAATTATAAAAATGTTCAAAATCCGCGAAAAAATCCGAAAAGATTATTTTATTTTATTTAAAATGTCAAATATTCGCGTAAATCTAAGAAAGTATTATGTGAAACACTAGTTCTTATTATTCTAAATTTAAGGGCCAAAGCGTCACATCTGGCAATAACAACTATTATTAATTATGCAATTTGCAAATATAGCTATGTTCTATAAAAAAAAGTATAATTGGCTTAGCTTTTCATTAGTCGTACTATGATTTATTTATGTTGACAAATTCTTAATTTACTAAATCATACTAATCTAGCAAAATATTTAGACGCCATTCAACGTCAAACAAATCAATTCCATTTTCCAGTGCAAAAGACTTTGCCAGTTAGACATAATATTCTATTGCACCATGTCTGATACAAATAAAGTTTATATAAATACCTTATCTGCTTATATAAAACTTAACTACATATTTATTTGTTTGTTATTGAGTAATAATAAAATACTGATAAATTGCCCGTACCCTACATCCCTGGCTATTTGCCAGAGTTGTTTTAAAGTAACCTTCAAGTGGACCAATATTAAAACTTTAGACAAGTCTTATAAAATACTTAGATTTATCGTGATACTAACATTATAGATCCTTTTTACCTAACCTACTATTAAAGTACTTATTTCTATTTACATGAATAGGATACTAGCACTTGAATGATATCGAGGCGGTTATTCATGAAATAATGGCAGTATCCCATAGACATAAAATGCAGACATGAACATTGTTCTGCTACGTCGATTTTCTCCTTCGGGCGCTATTAGCCCACTTATTCGTTTGTGGTCCACTATTCTTTTGTTATACGATTTTTCGACAAGATGAAATGTCTTTATGAACAATGTAGGTACCAGCATTTATTTTTTCTACATTTAAATATCACATGTTTCTACATTAAGAATCATATATCAACTAAGCTTCCGATCTATTTAACTTTTTCTTAATACACTTTCAATTTACCGATAACAATACCTAGCACTACTATCATCATGAATTACTACAAATAAATAGATGTTCCTAAATAGATTTTTTTTAATATAATTAAGACAGAGTACTAAATTTTTCTTGTGTTATTGTTTGCCTTTTAAATTATAACTACAAATATTGCTAATTATAGAAATGAACTATAGAAATGTAATACTGCTAATTATAGAAGTCACGAGAGGTTTTGTTATAATATTCATTATTTCAGATATCTGGCGCAATCGAGCTCTCAGATCCAGCCAACTCGGCGGAGATATTACAGCGGCTTCAAAATACAGTAAGTGTCTTTATAATCTTATTGTATGTATAACTAGCGACTCACCCTCGCTTCGCTCGGGTTCGTTCCCAGGTACGTTTTAAACTAAAATGGATGTAATATGTTATCCTTAAGAGATAGACATATGCCATCGCAGACTTTTCTGTAGACACAATTCCACCATATATCTCAAAGGGTTCAGGCAGCGTTTTCGTTGAAAGCTCCCAGACGGCTTATTTTTTCCGACACCTCCAACAAATATCGTTATATTTTAGCCAATGTAATGTGAAAACCACATCAAAATGCCTTGCGTAATTTTAAACATCTAAGCATACTTAGGGATATACAGACAGCGGGTAGCGACTTGATTTTATACTATGTAGTGATGTCATCTCTTGGCTACATTTTGTACTCTATATTGTTAAAATATCAAAATTTTATTATCATATTGTAAATACATAATATAGGTATTTTAATTGGGTCAATATCACAGTTAAATCACTGATTAATAATGTCTCAGCTGATTAATTATGTAAGTGTCAGTCAAAATGTAATATTCTTAATACACGGGGTTTTTACATTTTAATGCTATAAATATATATTCTACTACGAACAAACATTTAATTTAATTTTAACTCTTTGTAAAGACTCGACATCTAGACGCTAGGACTGGTTTTCTTATGACACTCACGGATTATTTAGAAGAATATGGCAATGTATATGACAAAAATATATTGCGTGCTTCTAACCTCCGTATGTTGTACCGGAGAAAGTCTTACGTAGTTTTTACTCCGTGAACTGCATTCTATTTATTTGTCTATACAATGGATTGTCACCATTTTCATATTGGTATCTTGTTATGGATAATATAACGGTCAATATAATATATTACTGCTTTCGGAAATCGAAACTACGACCTCTACCTCTAGCGTAGTAGGCCGCATCGGTCATCAAGTTTTATTATGTAGTAAATTTAAGTACATAAACTGTGGTCAGACAGTGAATGCAGAACAAATGAAGCTGGTATATTACACAATAAATTAAACTTAGCAAATTTCGAAGGCATGTCAAAGAAGATTAATAACTTTCGTGTATTCAGCTCACTGAATATATTCTTTATTATAAGCTTGTTATCTGATACGAAGTGCCGTTTGTGGCTGGAAATTGCTGGTTGTATGCACTTCCATTATGATTATGATAATGGAATGTGAACAAGAAAGTCGCGCGTCAGACGTGGTGTCAAAATGTGGCTTGTGTTCTATAGAATATTCAGAATAATGCACTCCTTTTTACCCGACAGCGGCAAAGCCAAAAGGAGGGTTATATGTTTGACATATATATATATATATATATATATATATATATGTACGTATGACATATGTCTACCCTATGTTCCCTTGTAATAACTAAACGACTTAACAGATTTTGATAATTTATACGCCGTTAGGTTCGTTTTCATAGCGCGAGTATCATAGGGTATATATTATGTATGTACCTAGATATTGAAAATCAAAGTGGCGGATCCCAGGAGCCAAATTGTTTGTCTTGAAAAAAAAAACGTCCGAATCAATCGAATGGGGTATTAAAATGCAAGAGGTGATTACAAATATATATGTAACTTATATGTTTAAAAGTGATTTGGGATAAGAAATCTATACATATAATAAATATCTAACTAAATCGAATCTGTACATTAAATATTTTTTGGAAAATCTTATTGAAATTGTTATTATTATCGATACAGAGCCCGAATCTATAGTTTTTAGATTTTTTCTGTCTATTTGTCTGTCTGTCTGTCTGGGAACGGATCACGAGAAAACCACTGGCCAGATTTTGATGAAATTTGATATGATGATAGCTGGTTATTCGGGTCAACATATACGACACTTTTTACTGTGAGAAAATATCTCATTTCTGAAAAATCTATACTAATCGTTAAAACAGAACAAGTCGATGAAGAAATATAGTATTATGTAGTCAGACGTATATATACGAGTACGCACATGTTTTATAGCTAGATGCGAGTCTTATGACGTATGTATGTACAATATGTCACCGACTGCATTATACTATGTTTCTTCTTCAACTTTTTCTGATCTTTTTAGTTAGCTTTTTACGCAATCCGGTATTTTATTTTTGTAATTTATACTTAAAAGTTGTATAATAGGCATTGAAAATGCTGCTGTATCAAAGGGTCTTCGTACGAAGAAGAATCGAGTTTGTATTTGTGTACAAATTGAATAGTTTTATTATAAATCGGTGATAAAAGTCTATTGTAGTAGGCGTATTTTAAATTTTAGTTATTATACATTTTGTCAAATATTTAATGTTCCATTAACATATTCTTATTGATCTCCTAATGTGTATAATAATTTGTCTTACTGGAAGAGAAAATAAACGTATCGCAAGGATACTGAGCTGTTAAACACATTACAAACATTAACGCGTTCACACTAACATGATACTGCATTCCTGATATGTTTTCGTTCCCGTGGTGTAAGGGTGGGCCTTCGGACAACTACTCAGGACTATTCAAAAAATATCATAACGACAAATTTAGTTATTTTTGACCGATTTCAAAGACTAGGAGTTAGTAAATTCTTATGTATGTCACCAATTGTGAATCGATTTTCATAATTCTTTTTGTTATAGATTATAGTCAATTACATAGATAAGGGAGAAATATTAAAGAAAACAAAACCAACTGCTAATAGTAGAAAATAATACTTAGATTAATTTTGAAATTGATGAACTTTTACTTTATAAAGAAATTATTTAAAAAAAATCTCTATTTACGCAAAATTAATGCAAGAGTGACTAAAAGTATTTGATAAGCGTATAGATAATAAATTTACGTTTATTAATACAATTTGATTTTTATGTTTATTCAACGAAAATATCATCAATAAACTCACATAAATTCAATGCATATTACTAATGATTGAGATAAATGAGCCACTCGGGCTTGAGCTCAAAACTTGCAATATATTACACTTTATTGCGTACGGTGAAATATCTGTTGAGATTCAACAAATGTCATGGTCTGACTGTAAATGAGTTAAGATACCTGTTCTAATACTTGTTGATAGTTGTTTTATTCCCAAATAGCACTGAATATAATAAGAGCTTTGTGTACATCATTACGATGCTATTCTGTCTTGACTCTTCACGATGCCATTCTATCAGTATCTTACTATACTCAGAAACTTTTTGATAAATTATCAGATTAATCTAAGGGTTTGTTAAAATAGGTATTTTTTAAATTTGAAATAAATACACCGTTTTTGATATTTTTATAATTATATACCTACTTTACTCCACATTAACATTGTCATATAAATAGTACAGAGACCAATGTGGACTTACCTCTAGAAGAGTACCTACATTAATTTTCAACCGACTTCAAAAAGGAGGAGGTTCTCAATTCGACTGTATTTTTTTTTATGTTTGTTACCTCAGAACTTCGTCATTTATTAACCGATTTGGACAATTTTTGTTTTGTTTGAAAGGGTATACTTCCAGATTGGTCCCATTTAAATTTAAAAATAATACGGGTGGTATTTTTTTTTAATTTAAACCCCTAAGGGTGGAAAAATAGCTAATAATGAATTTAACCTACTTCTAATTGTCATATTGACTTGAAACTTTGCAAGTGTTTTTATTTCCGTTGATAGTACAGTGGTTCGGTATTGTTGACCTGATCTGATGGTAAGGCCAGAAGGTGGATAGGCGGAACTCTTCAACGACTAATAGTAGATACTTTGAGTTTGGACTTATTTTGTTTGGTTTGACAAGCCTAATACTTTAGAATTCTTACTTTGCTACACTAAAAAGGGAAAAATAAAAACTTTTTAACAAAAAAATAAAAACCGACTTCAAACAAAAGCACTAAAAATAAAAAAATAACTGATTGGTAGTTTTCATTTACTATACATACCTAATCAAATATTTTCGAAGTCGGTGTGCTTTGCTTTGTATGGGCTGGCACCGATTTCGAAAATATTTGATTAGGTATGTATTTAATAGGTAGGCTTTAATTACTTAGCCAAAGCACACCGACTTCGAAAATATTTGATTAGGTATGTATAGTAAATGAAAACTACCAATCAGTTATTTTTTACTTTTTAGTGCTTTTGTTTGAAGTTGGTTTTTATTTTTTTGTTAAAAAGTTTTTATTTCTTAGTTTAAACTTGGTTATAACTTATAATATATTAATGAGCATGCTGTGGTCTCCTATAAGTGAAGGAGCACACGTGTCGTGAGCCTTATTTGCTTTTTGTTTTTATATGATGTTGTATATTGTGTATATCTTTAGTTGAAGATCCTAAATAAAATAATAAATAAAATAAAAGAACTCTTCTAGGCATTCTATGGAGAAATAGCGTTTTATACTGTAATATAAAGTAAAATTGTAAATAATATTCAAACACTTAAATAAAATAAAAAAACATCCATATACTAATATGATAAATGTGAAAGTGTGTTTGTTTGTTTGTCCTTCTTTCACGTCGAAAGTCGAAACGGAGTGACGGATTGCCCTGATTTTTTGTGTGGAGATATTTAGAGGGCTGGAGAGTGACACAGGAATACACGTTACAATACAATCCAAAAAAATATTTATAATCAGAATTACTTGGAACTTGATATTATTGCTCTTTAATAAAATTAAATTAATATTCAACTACAAGTATTACAATTATTTTAACTTATATGTATATATTTTAGTGAATGACTTACATATGTACTATTCATATTTAGCTTTATTTTCACAACATTTTTGGCTGAACAAGTACTAGTAAGTACATTAACAATAGACTATTATTGACAGAAATACATTCAAGAACTACTTATTAGTTATACGGTAGTATTATATCTTGTGACGAATCCAATCAAGAAGATGTAGTCTATAGAAAAGATTTTCATTATAAAGCTAAAATTTAGTACTTAATCTCTCTTCTTTCCTTGCTGCAGGCGTATTTAATTTGCGGATCGCGATTGTGAGCATTGCTATAATCCATTGT